GCTGGCTCTATTTATTCTTAAATTCACTCTTAACACACTACTTCCCAGAATGTGGAACCGGCACTACTGAAGCTATGGTTGCTGATGATCTAAAGTGGAATGCCAATTTGACACTGAACAATATTTAATCACACCGTACTGATCCGATGGCAGGAGCCAGGTACTTCTCCTGGTCTCCCATGGGGTGCAGGGCCCAAGTACCTGGGCCATCCTCCACTGCACTCCCTGGCCACAGCAGAGAGCTGGCCTGGAAGAGGGGCAACCGGGACAGAATCTGGCACCCCGACCGGGACTAGAACCCGGTGTGCCAGCGCCGCAAGGCGGAGGATTAGCCTAGTGAGCTGCGGCGCCGGTGAATAAATTTTTTTTAAAAATGAGGAAAAATATAAATGGTATCATATAGTCATGGCAAAAATATCATGGAGGTATCTCCTGGATGACCAACTCTGGAAAACACCGTGCTGGTACAGTCTCTCTACAAATAGGTGTAGGGTGGGTGTTTGGCACAACAGTTGAGGTGCTGCTTGGGATACCACGTTCCATGTGGGAGCGTCTAAGTTTAAGCCTCTGCTCTGTCCCTCCTGTCTCTAGCTTCCTGCTAATGCACACCCTGAGAAGCAGCAGACTGAAGATGGATCAAGTACGTGGTCCCTTCCACCCACAGGGGAGATCCAGATGGCGCTTTCAGCTCCTCGATGTCATAGGCATTTCGGGGAGTGAACTGATGGATGGGAGATCTCTTTCCATCTATCTCCATCTCTCTGCCTTCCAGATGAAATAAATAAAAAAGACTCATCCTTAAAACAAAACAGCTGTCCATTGCATTCTTGTTTCTCTCGGACCACAATAGGCAATCAAGGGCTGGGAAGGTAACTCTCTGGAGTCCTGTTTGCCCCTTGTATCTCAGGTCATTCAAACTCTACCTTAGCTGCTCTCATCATTTTTGGCTTCTAAATCTCAGTGTGGTTTCTATTGCGCTGTCCCTGAAAGCCAGGATCTGGAGTCTTGTTGCATCACCCTAAAGGAATCTATGTTCCATTTCCATGTTTAAATAAGGAAGCATTCCCTCCACCCCTCACCCCACAAGTGGTTATGGCTCTTTTGGCTAATTTTGATGGCTTTGTGTTAAAGAACCCATAATCACACCTTGATTTTCTCAAAGGAATCTTTGCATTATCAGCATATCATTTTCTTTTCAAGTTGTTGAGGACAAGCTTCCACAACAGTGCAAGGGGACACTTGACTAATGCTTATCCCCGTAGCACCTGCAAAAGTCCTTCCATACCAACTCTCTCATCTGTAGCCGAAGATGTGTACCTATCTCAGGTGATGCCACCTGGTAACCTTCCTCTTTTCACCCCTGGAGATGGGATATTTCAGTATGTGACCATCAGTTCCTAGATGTACCTTACCTAAGTGACCTTGAGAATCCTCACACAAATAGGGTTCCTTTTTAAAAAAACATAAAATAAAAAGATTTATGAATTTGAAAGGCAGAGAGAGGGAGAGGGAGAGGGAGAGGGAGAGGGAGAGGGAGAGGGAGAGGGAGAGGGAGAGGGAGAGGGAGAGGGAGAGGGAGAGGGAGAGGGAGAGGGAGAGGGAGAGGGAGAGGGAGAGGGAGAGGGAGAGGGAGAGGGAGAGAGATCTTCCATCCATTGCTTCATCCCCCAAATGGCCACATGGATGGAGCTGGGCTGATCCAAAGCCAGGCACTTCATAGAGGTCCCACACCTGGGTACAGAGGCCCAAGGACTTGGGCCAACCCCCTGTGCCTTCCCAGGTGCAAAAGCAGGGAGCTGGACTGGAAGAGGAGCAGCCAGGACTCGAACTGGCACCCATTAGGATGCCAGTGCCACAGGTGGCAGCTTTACCAGTTATGCCACAGAGCCAGCCCCACAAACAGGGTTCCTGATGGTCTGCCCTAGTGTCCTAGAGTCCCAAGTATAGGTATATCCCGGGTATAGCCTAGTTCCATAACAGAACACTAGGTAATGTTACAAAATAAAACATTTTAAAGATAAGGAAAAGAAATGGTGCAACAAAAATTAACCATACTACTTCTAAGTAGCAATGACTAGAAACTAAGTCTTTGTGTTTAAGATCACAAGTCAAAATTCTTTGTTTCATATGTTTTTACATTTTTATAACAGGTTTCAGTGGAACTGGGAACAGTTTCGTATGTTCAGATCAAATTGAAGCAAGTGAGCAAATGTATTTTGAATAACTACATGGTTAATCTACATTAGTACTCTGAGTCAAATGCAAGGAATCTTAATTTACAAATATTTTAAATACCCTACCCCTTGGGGAGAGAAAATCACTCCTTTTAAGTTCTTTTGGCAGACAGCCCTGGTACCTAACATAAGTTTCTGTGCACTCTCTGATGTAATGTTCTGATCGTATTACAGAGTATAACTTACCAAGACTACATTTTTAACTACTCTGCTTTCACAACAGTTGAATCTATACTCCTGTCTCTATGGTTACTTTTTATAGTGCTCACTGAAATTTAATATTCTCTTTTCCAACCCTCCCTTCCAATACTTTGAGTCTACAAAGAGGCCATATACCAGAAGTGAGAAGTGGGGAGGCAGGATTACACACATGATTAAAGCAAACAGTAACCATGAATTCGCTAAGCCACAATTGTTCACCTAAGCTCTGCCTTGGGGATAGAAACTCTCTAATCAAATCTTGTATTCAATGAAGTGTCACTTACATTAAACTATTATTAAAAAAAAAACATAAGAATCTCTGCAAATTACATTTTAACATAATAAGATTTTCTGTTTCCTTGTATTGTTTCACATTTTCTATTTTCTAGCTACTGATTCACATTTGCAGCAGATTGTAGGTATGATGTGGGATAAAATGCATTTTGACCTCTAAGATGCCTTCATGTTTGTAGTGTCCTATGAATATCTGTGTGTGAGAGTGATAATCTGCTCATCTCTGGTAATACAAACATATAAAATATAATTTAAAATAAAGATCTAACAAAACTATTTTAGAGTATGCACGTTATATGCATAGAAATAAGACATGAGGAGGGGAAATACAGGTATGCACACAAATATGATACAAATCAAAGGCTACCAAAATACAGGCATTATCCATTCACTTCTTGAGGGCAAGGTTCCTACTCATTTCATTTTTTTTCCCCCAAAGAAACCTTTTATTTAAGGAATACAAACTTCACGCATTTTTTAAGTACAACTTTAGGAATACAGTGATTCTTCCCACCATACCTGCCTTCCCACCCACATTCCCACTTCTCTTCCTTTTCCAGTCCCAGTCCCATTCTCCACTAAGATCCATTTTCAACTAACTTCATACACAGAAGACCAAATCTATACTAAGAGTCAACAGTTTGCACAAAAAAGAAAAAAAAAAAAAAAACCCTGCTCCTCAACAGTCAAGAAAAGGGCTTTTCAAAGTCATTGCATCTTGAAGTTAATTTTGTTTTTAGAAACTTAATTAACCTTAAAGAAGTACCAAAGAATGATACATCTTTTGTGAGCACTTACACATAACTATAACTTATGAGACATAAGAATATTCTCCATTTAATACATTAAAAGAAAGTCCTTAAGAACAAGGTTTATTAATTAATTAAATTCCTTAATCATTAATTAAAGCACCTAAGAAAACAAGCAATGGAGTTGGACACTTAGTCATAACTAAAACTTGTGAGACATAATATCTGCCACTTAATATACTATAAAATGAAATGAATCTTCGAGAACAAGTTTTACTGTTAACTCTCATAATACAACTCTTTGAGGACAGAGGTCCTGCATGGGAAGTTAGTGCAGGAGTCACTGTTTATTAATTTAATCATTAACACTATTAGATATGACATCAGTGACCACCTGAGGCTCTTGACATGAGCTGCCTAGGCTATGGAAACCTATTGAATCCACAAACTCTGTCACTATGTAGACAAGGCTATCAGCAAAGTGGAAGTTCTCTCCTCCCTTCAGAGAAAAGTAGCTCCTTCTTTGATGACCACTTCTTTCCACTGGGGTCTCACCCACAGAGGTCCTTCATGTAGGATCTTTTTTGCCACAGTGTCTTGACTTTCCATGCCTAAAATCCTGTTCATTTCTATACATTCATTTTTACATCCAGGGATGAACTCAAGTGCCAGGCACATAATAAGAATGTAATTATATACTGGTAAAATTAATCAATGAGTGCAGGTATGAACAAACAAAATGTTACAGGTACATCCAAGAGGAAACATCTGACATCCCAGGATAACAGTGGTGGGTATTAACACACTGCTAATCTCCCCACAGGATCTATTCTCCCCTGCTTCTATAGTTTAACTTTCCTCCCACCTGTAACCCTCCCATCTCCCACTCCCTTTCCCATTCCATTCACATCAATTCATTTTCAATTATCTTTATATACAGAAGATCAATTTAGTATACATTAAGTAAAGATTTCAACAGTTTCCCTGCTTCTATAATAACAGTTCCCTCATTTTTCAGCTGGCCACATTACAGACTTCCTTTGCTGCTAGGTGTGCCATGTAACCAAGTTCTATGCCAGTGAGTGTGATCACAGGCAATGTGTGAGCCTTTACAGCCTGGCCTTGAAGGTGTAGGCCTGCCTCTCTCTCCCTTTCACCCCTCTAACCACTGGCTGGAAATGGACACCGTGGTCCACCAGACTAGAACAAGTGGCCCAGGGCATATGGACTTAAATGCTGCAAGGCCTAAGTCAGCCAGCATCCTATCTGAACCGGAAGATGCCCTGCAGCTGGTTCCCAGGCAATATGACTTCTCCAACAAACGGCAACCATGAACAAAGAGACCTCAGAGGTGGGCAAGGAAAACACGTACACCATATTAGGAGAGTCTGAGCTTTACGTCTTAGGGCCATTATAGGAAAAGAGATTAAAAACCCCACTGTTTTTCTCTCCCTGCTTATAGACACCAACGTGGGAATGTAGTGTGTCCCCCTTTCTAATCAATAGCAAGTATGTTAACTCTTACCCGGTGTTCTTTGATTTCCACGGATTGATAACCACACATACATCTGTATTGCTTTTAAACCTCGTTCAATGCAAGTCCTCATCCTGGAAGAAAAACATAAAACTGGCAACAAAGCTCAGGTGTGCGGAACAGCCAACTAAGGCACTTGACTGATTATTGCCAGATGGAAATCTTCATTCTGATCAGCTGAATAAGCTTCAAGTTTGATTTTTCAGTCAACAGGCTGAAATCCAAAGCGGGAGGAGTCCAGTCCCTGAAAACCTAGTGCAGGAAGAACCACAGTACCAGCAGGACTTCAGACAGAAATGCACTTCTGGTTGTTTACGCCAGTGGTTATTTTGGGTTTCTTTGGCAAGGGCTAAATTTACCTAACAAATACAAGCTTCAAGAGAGGTGACTGGGCAGGAGCCCCCCAGGTGCACAAGGAGGGAAGGGCTTTCTGGACCCAGGAAGCAGCGGGAATAAAAATGTGGAAGTTTGGGGCCCGGCTACGGCAGACAAAGGCCAGGTCCCAGGAGACCCTGTCCTGCCTGTTACAAGGCTTGGATTTAATCCTGCAGCCAAAAAGAGACTGCATGACAGGTGCACGGGAGACAGAAGGTTCAAATACCTGTTTTATAGTTGAGAAAAGAAATCCAGAAAGGGTAAAGGTCTTTTCTAAGTTAGAGACAGACCGAGCACCAGCAGTGTTTCAGCTATACCAGACTTTTTCAAAACGTGGTCTTTAGGCTGACTGCGATAGAATCACCTGGGTTGCCTGCTAAAAAATGCGAATTCCTGGGCCCCTACTCGGAACCAAAGCTCACTGGAGAGGGGTTCCAGGAATTTGCATTTTTTTAAACAGGCACCAGGTGCATTTCTAACGAAGATTTCAGAATTGGGAGCAAGTGAACCGCACAAGCCCGTAAAGTACCTCTAAGCGTTTCGGAACAAAGCCAAGAGCAAGCATTGCGGGGGGCGGCGCGGGCCAAGCGCGCGAGGAGACGTCGAGCTTCGAGGAAGGGCCGACGTCGGGGTCGCCTGGCCGCAGGCACCAAGTCCCGCGGGAATCGCCCGCGTGCGACGCAGACCCCACCCCACCCCGCCCCCGCCCCGGCTGCCATGGAGACCTGGGCGCTGGACCGGCCGACGGCGGGCCTGGGGGAGGCCGGCGCTGCCCGAGTCCACACCTGCGGTCCGCGGACCCGGCCCTCACCCGGCTCCGCGCCGCTTCCGCGAAGGCCGCGCGCGTGAGGTGAGGCAGGGCCGGTGGGGGGTCTCTCGCCTTTAGAAAGGAACCCGAGCCCGCCGAGCGCCGGAGGCAGACCCCCACGGCGTCCCGAACCCGGCCGGTGGGAGTGGCTGCATTTGAACCAAACGGCCTTCGGGGGCCGCCGCCACCTCCCCGCTAGCCGGGGCGCCTGAGGGCCCGTGATCGACACCGGCCTTCGGTACCCCGAGTGCAGCGGATGCCGGGTCTCGGTCCCCCAAGCCAGGAAACATCTGCCCTCGGGGTAAGGGGCGGACTCGCGGGAGCCGGTGCAAGGGGCGCCCGCTCGGACGCGGGCGGGCGGGCGGCGGTGGGGCCGCAGGCGCGGCCGTCGGGGCGCTCAGCCCGGAGCCCGCCAGGTAGAAGCCCCGGGTCCTCTCCGTCCCTCCTCCCGCTTTTACGTGTGCGCAAGTTTCCTGGCGACTGGTCCGGCTCGCACTGTGGGATGCTCAGGGCGGCCAGTAAATAAAAGCCACCCCGAAGTCTTTTTTTTTTTCCTGTTAAATTTAAAGATAGAGCTTTTCCATCCGCTGGGTCACTCCCCAAATGTGCAGGACCTCAGGAACTCTACGCGGCTTTCCCACGTGGGTGGCAGGAATCCCCGCCCCCACCCCCACCCCCTACCCCCCACTGCTTCCTAGGGTGCGCATCGGCAGGAGGCTGGATCGGAAGCAGGAGGGGAACAAAGCACTCGAATCCGGGGTGCAGGCCTCCAGAGCAGTGGTTTGACCGCTTAGAAGGGGGCCCCCCACATAGGGTGCTACAGAAATTTACCCAAATAACCTTTTCTTTCCGCAGAGAGGATGCTTAAGGTAGGAGGAAAACCATTTCCCGGAACATCTGAGTTGTAATTCGAGCTTGAGCGACAGTCAAGGGGCAGCCATGCTGAACTCCCCAAGGGGACCGGAACTGTCGAGCTCCCCGGGCCCCGAGGACATCTCCCAGCTGTCTTCCCCGGCGCTGTCGGGTCACGCAGCCTCCGCCGAGAAAAGCTCCGCCGGTGTTCTCGAAAAGACTGGCTATCCGGACTCCGTGTATGTGACGGCTGCGAACATTTTCCAGGGCATTCGAGTGGAAAAGTCGCCGGACAAGGTCATAATAAAGTACGGGAATGAACCCCTGCGCTCCTTCTCTGAGCCCGAGGAGGAATCCTTTCAGCGTCTGTCCTACGAGCTGGCCTTCAGCGCCCTGAAGTGTGAGTAGCAGCCTGGGAGGCGCAGCACTGCGAGCAAATACTGCGGAGAGAATTCTGGGAACGTTAGCCTGTGCTTGGTGCATTGCACACTTCCAGGGATGAGAGGAGTTCCCGTGCCTCCAGCTTGTTCTGCCCAGGACTGGTTTTTATGAGGCAGTCCCCGGTGCCCAGCACGTGCCTGGTCCTTAGGTAGTTGCAGGGCACAGTTACTAAACTGAACACAGAAGCGATTAGCAGGGAGAACAAAAATCTAGAGAGCATTTCATTACCGTGTTCCCCGGGCGTACAGCCTGTATTTGGGTTTATGAGCTGTCACAAATATAAAACCAGTAAAGGAGGATGGGGGAGAGCAACAGAGATGGCAGAAAAAAGGGGGCATTATTTAATACCTGTATCAAAGGCAAACCTCCTCCAATTAAGATGGTTGCGTCCAGAGCCCTTGACTTTGAGGATCCAGAGTTTAGCCTTCCCCTTTGTAATTTGCCTCCAGGGTGTGAGACTCCTGTTTCTGATTCCCTCAGCGGTGGGTCATTATACACTTCTGCTCTTGGAGAGCAGTCAGAGGGCCCGGGGACACTGGTTTTTATATTACAAGCCTTGACTGTAAACTGCCTTGTAAGCTGATTGAGTGTAGTTCCAAAAAGAAGTTCCAGAAATGTTGAGTTGTATGCAGCAGGGCTGAAATGAGATGCGGCTGTCAAGAGGTCCCTGGAGAAGGGCAGCGCTCATGTGCGTGGTTTCCTTAGTGTGCACTCATAGGGGCTAGCATGGAGGACAGAGTTCAATATTGTGCAGTTGAATTCAGATGTCCTGTTGATTGTTTAGACAGGAACATATAGACACACACACACACACACACACACATATATATATAAGATTTATGTATTTATTTGAAAGACAGAGTTACAGAGAGAGGTAGAGAACAGAGAGAGAGGTCTTCCATCCGCTGGTTCACTCCCCAGATGGCTGCAATGGCTGGAGCTGTGCTGATCCGAAGCCAGGAGCCAGGAGCTTCTTCCGGGTCTCCCACGTGGGTGCAGGGGCCCAAGGACTTGGGCCATCTTCCACTGCTATCCCAGGCCACAGCAGAGAGCTGGACCAGAAGAGGAGCAGCTGGGACTAGAACTGGTGCTCATATGGGATGCCAGCGCCTCAGGCCAGGGCGTTAACCGCTGCACCATAGTGCCAGCCCCGGAATATATATTTTTGGTTGTCTGCAGAAATGATATAGCTCAACTCTGAAGCCTGGACCTTGACATCATAGAGAAAAACAGGTGTTATGTGTTTATGTTGCATCTCCTTGTTTTCTTCCCACTTAAGTCTGGCAACTGTTTTTCTTCCTCCAGTGTAGTCATTCAGATCTTGTTTTATCCCTCTCTCTCCCTTCCTGCAACTGCAGGTCGCCCACCGTGAGCAGAATGATCGTCTTGACACTTTCCCCTTGTGGACTGGGCACCTGGGCTAACTAGTCAGTGTTTAATGTTGATGCTAGAATTCTTTCATAGGCAATTTGTTTTTTCTTTTTTTTTTTTTTTTCTTTTTTTTTTTTTTTTTTGACAGGCAGAGTGGACAGTGAGAGAGAGACAGAGAGAGAAAGGTCTTCCTTTGCCGTTGGTTCACCCTCCAATGGCCGCCGCTGCAGCCGGCGCACCGCGCTGATCCTGGCAGGAGCCAGGAGCCAGGTGCTTTTCCTGGTCTCCCATGGGGTGCAGGGCCCAAGCACCTGGGCCATCCTCCACTGCACTCCCTGGCCATAGCAGAGAGCTGGCCTGGAAGAGGGGCAACCGGGACAGAATCCGGCGCCCCAACCGGGACTAGAACCCGGTGTGCCGGCGCCGCAAGGTGGAGGATTAGCCTATTGAGCCACGGCGCCGGCCGCAATTTGTTTTTTCATAGAACATTGAAACTTATCTTTTGAAATCAATTATAGAAGCCTCAAGTATTCTATGTAAAGTGAATGCATTAGTTAGATTGTTGTGCTATAGTGACAAATGTAGTAGATTCTCGTTTTCTTTGCCTAAATCCTATTTTCTGTTTTATGAAAGGGTCTTGTGATAATTGGATGGATTTTAAAAAAAAGGATATATTTTTTATTTGAAAGAGTTACAGAGAGAGAGACAAAGACAGAGAGAGATCTAATATCAGATGGCCACAATGACCAGGGTTGGGACAGGCTGAAGCCAGGAGCTTCTTCCAGGTCTTCCATGTGGGTTGCAGGGGCCAAAATACTTCGGCCATCTTCCACTGATTTCCCAGGCCATTAGCAGGGAGCTGGATCTGAAGTGGAGCACCCTGGACATGAACTGGCACCCATATGTGATGCGGTGGCTTAATCTGCTGTGCTACAGTGCTGGCCCCAATTTGATGGATTTTAATGGCCCAGGAAATCCCTCTGAGATCATTGTCAGAGGCCTTTACAAATGTGCTTGAAACACTCATTTTTGTAGGTTTAAATTATAAGATGGTATTTGTTGTTTACGTGTTTAAAATATTCTAATAATACAGTCTTTAAATGAAATCAGAATCCCTAAATGAAATGGGTTTTGTAAGATAATTAAGAGCTCGATGTTTTGCTGTTAAAACGTTAGAGGCTCTCGTGCATTTCACACTTGTCTCCTGTCTGCTCCGCAATACTTTCACACGTGCTATTTTGTAAATGTGCATCTGGCCTCTATATTTTAGGTTCATGGAGTCATGGTTCAGAAGAGGGAACTTGGGCCTTCTTCCCTAAGGTTCTGTAAGAAGTAAAACTGTACAGGCGCTGTACGAACTAAGTAGGACTTGGTAGTGGTCCCTTTTGTTTGGGAGTTTGTGACAGATAATAAGATCACATTACCATATATTTTTAGGAAGAAGAAAATAACAGAAAAAACCTCTTAATTAAAAGGCTCGGCCGGCACCGTGGCTCACTAGGCTAATCCTCCGCCTATGGCGCCGGCACCCCGGGTTCTAGTCCCGGTCGGGGCGCTGGATTCTGCTGTGGCCCAGGAGTGCAGTGGAGGATGGCCCAGGTCCTTGGGCCCTGCACCTGCCTGGGAGACCGGGAGGAGGCACCTGGCTCCTGGCTTCGGATCGGCACAGTTGCTGGCTGGCTAGCCGTAGCGGCCACTTAGGGGGTGAACCAACGGAAAAAAGGAAGACCTTTCTGTCTCTCTCTCTCACTAACTCTGCCTTGTCAAAACAAAACAAAACAACGTTAAAGGGCTCTGTATGTTTTGAAATGAAGATGGCCACTGTCCCGCTTTACCAAGTAACCCCAAGGCCAATTTCTGCCAAATAAGGTAGAATTGCTAATGAAGAGAAGCCTGTTCTTTCTAAGCTTGACTTCTTTCAAAGTCGTAGAGTGCAAGCCAATACTTTATCTTTGTAAAGATCTCTGTATGTTTAGAAGAAGACAGATATTAAAGAAAAACTGGTAAAAGTGATTTCCTAAATAAATGAACAACAAATAAACACCGAATAAGACTAAGGAAAAAACTCAAAAAGATGTCCCTGAAATTGTCGCTCTGTTTCCTGGCTTAATTCTTTCTCCAACAGCTCCAAGTATATATAGTATTTGGTGAAATTTCACTCCCAGGAACTGACCATAGCATTAACCTGGTCAATTTAGAATCTCATAATGACTAATACCAAAACCTATAATCAAACATATGGTTTGGTTATAGGTTTTGGCAATTAGTAATTGTAGTCAGGAATTCCTAAGACCACCCTTGGGTTCAGCAATAGGCCAGGACTTATAGAAGCCAGCAGAGCTGGTATATTCATGGCTACAGTTTATAACAGCAAAAGGATACAGGATACAATCAGCAGCAAGTAAAGATGCATGGTGCTGAGGCCAGGAGAGACCACATACCTGCTTCCCAGTGGAGTCTGATCGTCAGTGCTTGCTTCTCCCAGTAACAACGTATGATACTGCAAATGAGCTATTACCAACTGGGGAAGCTGAAACATACCTGTCTTGATTTTTATTGAGGGTCAGCCTCTAGACAGGAAGCAGCTGCTACATGGCTGACCTTAGCTACTCACTCTCCAGCTTCTCCAGAGGTCAAGCTGACACTGTGTGGCACAAGGCTCCAGGTATACAAAGACACTGTATCAGTCAGGATATTGCAAGGGCTTAGTGCTCATCCCCTGGGAACCATCAAGACCCAAACCCTTCTCTAGAGTGCCCTGTTGGGCTGCCCAGACCTTCTGAGTTAGGTCTTGACTGCATGGTGATTCATTAGGAAAATAATCTAGATCAATCACCTGTTATGCTCTGGTTGTCACCTAAGAAGTTAAAGCAATTCTCTTGAGTGACAATAAAAGTACCTTAAATTTGAGTAGCTATATTATTTGATATACCAGTCCTTTGAAATGTAAGGTTCTCATCTTGCCAATAGAAAAAAAAATGGGGGAAGCTCAGGAAGAGGTTCAATGATGGACCTGAGAACCCAGCAGAGGGGCCTGTGTTTGGCAGAGCAGTTAAGATGCTTCTTGCTACGCCTGCAATCCCATATCCTGGGGTTTGAGTCTTGGTTGCAGTTCCAGCTTGCCAGCATGTACACTGGAGGGCAGAAGGTGATAGAGACAATAACGATGGTATTATTAGAATATTTTAAACATGTAAGCAACATAATACCATCTTATAATTTGAACTTATTAC